GCAGAGTGAGAGCGGGGGAGCGGGGAGCGTCGTTCCCTTCGCCTACCCCTGAAGCCGAGCGAATAAAGTGTCCCTGGATCTTCGTTTTTCAAGTGCCGCCCCGCCGCACAGCCCTCGTAGGCCCTGGCGGCGGGGTAGGGTGGAGTGGGGCGAGGTTGCGTGGGCCTGCGCGCGGGGGCCTGTAAAATGATTTGCACGCCTCATAAGAAGCGAAAGCGCGCGTAGAGAAATATAACACTTAGCACTCGCAGCAGCAGCGGCGGCGGCGGTGGCGGTGACACAAGGCAGGAGGGCCGTTGGGGCGGGGCGGGCGAACACCAGCAGCAGACGCGCGTGTGAAAGGGATCGGCGCGGAGAAAAAGGAATAAGGAGCGAAGAGTTGCGAAGAGGGGGTTGAATGGAGAGCGAAGCGGCAAGCGAATGGAAGCGAGAGGAACGAAAATAAAACAACAAGTTTGCGATGCCGCTGCCGCCGCCGCTGCTGCTGCAGCCGCGCTACGGGTGACGGTGACAAGTTATAAACATGGAGTCTCTATACGCGCGCCGTATGCCCACCTGGAGGAGGGAGAGAGGAAGGGGGCGACGACAGAGCGCAGCACGAGCAGCAGGCAATACGGAAAAGTTTTCGTCTCAATAGCCGAGGTAAATGTTCCCCTCGGCGACGCGCCGAAAACCGCGTCCTTTTGCACCGCCACGCCCGGGCTGCACCGCTACGGTCGCACTGTGGTGCCTTGAGTAGTTACAAATTCAACAAATTCAAATTAATTGGCACTTTTACAGAAAATGAGTCGAATTAGTCAGGACGACACGCTGCGCGCGCTCCTGTGCGGTTACGGCGTTTTTCATCCGCAGCCTATGTTGGAGAATCGAGGCTTTTGATGCGGGCTTGACTCGACAACTTGCATTAAACCTGTCGATGCGTCCGCCCCGCCCGCCCACCTCCCTCTCTTTGGAAACGCCGAGGCGCGCGCGCGCAGCCCGAACCCAATTCCTATTCCATCTCCATCTGCGCGCGCCAAAATATCGAGTTTCTCGAATAAGCCTCGGGTCTGGTCGCGGGCGCGCGCGTGTAACACAAGACCCGCCCGCGCGCACTCGCGAGGCACTCGAACTCGAGTTGTTGGAGGGCTGGCGGCGTAGCGGGGTGGGGTGGGGGCGCGGCATGGTTGCCTGTCGGTTCGAACCAAGTTCGCATAACGCTACGCTTGCCGGCAGATGCATCGCCCCTCCGCCCCCTCCGCCTTCGAACCAAGTTCGCATAACGCTACGCTTGCCGGCAGATGCATCGCCCCTCCGCCCCCTCCGCCTCTCGCACCCGAACCCTTGTGTGCACATCTCATCCATACCATATGCATGATGTCTGATGACGCGCGTAAATTCTATGCACAATTTCGGTGCATATCCCGCGACCGTCAAAAATAAAGTACGACTGACAGTACAATGGAAAACTGTTATTCATAGCACAAGACTATATACACGAGGTTTAATTCTGAAAAATAAAATAAGACACGCCCTCGCCGCGCCCCTCGAGCCCGGGGTGTTCTGTTTCAACGCCCAACGCACGGGCTTTACCAGCCGACGTGATGCGGCTGCGGGGGCGGTTACCTTCGCGTTACCTTAACCCCCTCGCCAAGCCTAAAGACACCGTGGGGCTCCTGACCCTACACCTACACCCCCGCAGGCTCGCACGCCCACCGCTTCCAGCCTCTCAGCTCGGGTAGCGCGGCAGCGGCGAGTTAGAGGTTCGGCGAACCTGAACCAATCAATCTCCCGACCACCGCTCGACGCGCCAAATCGGACGCGCGAATTCTTCATTTTCGCTGACTTGTGTAATTATTCGAGACGTATGGTATTCCCAAGACCCCAAGACCCTTCGCATTTATTTCTCTGAGCAGTCTGCACTACAATA